CAAACTGCAGGCTCAGAGGCCTGCAGCCGCAAGTGTGGAACGTTGGAGTCCTCCGTCACTGAGGCAAGCAAGCCACATGTTAGTTTCAAGCCGCCTGGCTGCCGCCATCTTGGCTGGAAGTTAATTTGCATATCTCGCTGATTAGCCAATGGGAAGGGTAGCGGTTGTACGCCAATTACCATGTTTCTCTTTTATTAGTGTAGATTCTAGAATCACCCACTTCAAAAGAAAAAAAAAATGCCAACATCGCTATGGCTGAAATGACTTGCCAACTTATCAGAGAGTAGTCTCCTCTACTCCCAGCTTATTTAAATTGTATAATAATTAATTAAGAGAAATCAGCTTTTTATAAAAATTATCTTTGAACTTGATAATTCATCATTAAATTTAAAAAACACAGAGAGGCTGTTAAATTAATCATTTCATATTTACTAAACCTTTACAGAGTAGATAAAATAAGATTCATATTAATGGAAAATCTCTACAAAATATCTTAGAACAATTAAGGCTGCCTCATCAATTCTGTATCTCCATGAAGGAAGTGAGCTATAAAAATAAAGCACTGTATTTATTACTACACCCTTTTTTTTGGTTATTTTCATTTACAGTCTGAAAGAGGTAGATCTTTCTGTAACAACTGAGAAATGAATTGTGATAACAGGTGTAATAAGACTGTCATACACAATTAAAAATTGTCTCATAACCACAAAATGTATTTCTATAAATCTGAAGATGAAATGTTCTGCTATTTTGCATCCATGTTCTTTTGTCTACATTGAAATCCACTACCTAATCGTTTTAGAACTCTGGAAGTTTCCACAAAAAGGTGTGCAACACAATTTAACTGATTTCAGCATTTAAACATTTTGTAGGCAAGCTATAGTATTTCCAAACAAGGGCTGAAAAACAAAGAGTCAGATACCATATATTTTAGATTTTTGCAAGTATAAAAACAGACCTAGCCAACTTGGGTTCAAGAACATAGTAGAAACTGCGAATCCTACATACTCATTAAAAAAACACAACTATTCTCATTAGCTATTTTCACCTCTTTTTTTCACTTGGTTAACGAATTCTAAAAAGAAATCGAAAGCTTACCAATCCAGTTCCTTTTAATATCTTCTACTACTATATATTATCTAATATACTTAGATATTAGTAGCCCACCTAAAATAGTAGACCGAGTGCTGTCACTCATAAAGCTCTCAGCCCATTACCTTCTACACAAAACAACACAGAGAAGTGTGATGGGAGACACAACTACTTAATAAAATGTTAAGAGCTTACAAGCAGCAGCGTCCTAGTAAAATATGCTCAATTTTAAGTTAAATTCTACTTCTGATATGTATCTTCATTTTCTTTCCAAGAGTTGTGGACAATATTTCACTTAATAGCTACTAATAAAACGTGGGTGGGGGATTGTTTGATTATGCTAATTCTGGCATTATAATTAGTCAAATTGCATGTACATTGTTTTTTCTTCACCACCTGGCCTGTTGATTATCATAGCCAATGATGAAAATTTTTAAATATTTCACACTCTAGGCTCTTATTCCTATTGTATAATTTTTCATTTTAACCCATTTTAAATCCATTTTAAGTATGACAGGGACATTTAAGTACAATATTGTTTTTAGATATTAAAATAAAAGAAATTAAGGAATGCAATTACAATGTTCAGAAATTTTCCCATTTTATATGCAGAGATCTAGTGCTAATTTCTTTTATATGTCTGTTCTAATCTGAAATTAAAGCAGTACAACTGTTCTTAGTCACAGGAACATTTAGCTTGTCCAATGACTTGCCTATATATCCTAGTTTCTTTACAAATGGTATGTTGATATATATGTAACTTACCAAAACTCTGAATCAAGATGTGCAGTCTTCTCAATTTGTGAAGTGGTAAAAAAATATTATCAAAAAGCTAGTATGAATGAAATAAGCTGTTTGTTTCACATATCCCACACTCAGGTTTTATTTTTCACTTGGTATTTAAATGAGCTATCACACAAAACTAATCATTTTTATATTTTGTGTTATTGGCTAGAGAGTTTAATTTTAGTTTTTCCATAGGATGGGAACCCATTGTCAGGACAAATCTAAATTTAATCATATATATCCAAAGGAACAGATAAGGGAATGAACACAGAAACAGATACATTAAAAGGACAAGATAATGAACACATATTCCAATAAAGGGAAAATAAGGCAGCTATGCAATACAGCTCTGGAAATGTATACATTAAACAATGCAAAACCGCTAGGCAGCCTCATGTATTGTATAGTTCAGAAGTTCCAAGAAAATACAGAAGTGGTAGAAAATGTAATAAAACTTTAATCTGAAAATCAATACTCGCTGCTTCAGAAAAGTTATATAGAAAATATATCTCTCAATACAGTAATCAGTCTTAACTGAATTCAGTAATCTCATAAACTGAATCAATGTCCAGAAGAGATCATGTGGGATGGGTCTTTTGAACTGTGTTTTGTTTTATTTGCTGCCTTGGTTTCATCCTGCAAGTAGATTCCTGGAGTTCTTTTAGAGGAAGTGTTCAACTCTTTCTGAAAAGCAACAGTAGTACAGGGCTTTATCGCAGCTGTTGCTAAATCTACATCTGCTTCTTTTATAGAGACTTGCTCTTTCAGGACTTCCACCTTCTCATTGAGCTCATTTCTTTCCATTTGAAGAGCTCTAAACAGCTTCTCTAACCGTCCCAGTTTCATTTGAGAGGACTTGTACTCTTTATCACGAATAGTTTTCTGAAGAAAAAAAAACACGACAGAATTTATGTAATCTTAGTATATACAAACAGAAATTAGATTATTGTATACAAAATTAACTAATCTAAGCCACACTGGAAACTACTTTTTATCATCTCTTGGACATCACAGTATATGTATATACTGATATTTAAAATATTTACAATTATATGAAGCAATGCAAAAATTAAATTCTTTGTCATATTTCATTCAAGTAATCAAGATCTACTTCATGACTTTAAGTAGTAAATATTAAGGAAATTCAGCATCTTAATTTAAAATGCTAGAAATAGGAATGTTTTTGTCTACATAGATTTTTTTTTATTCTCTTCCACCTTTTAGAGCCCTAATGTTTTCTCTTGTGAAATGTTATAAACTAGCCCTACCAAGTTTATGAAAGTGAGACATTTAGAAACTGTACATGGAATTCACTTCATTGTTATTTACAACAACTATGACAAAAAGTAGTTTGTTGCCTTTTGGAAAGAATAAGGGCAGAAAAGCAGTAAATTACAAGTTAATCAAATCAAATTAAATCTTAATCAAATTGTCTTTACTGAAGATCACTGCCTTTCAGGTTGCGGCCTTTGAATCAACATCAGTATTACCTGGATAATTTTTAGACTTGGATATTCTTGGGCTATATCCCAAATTTAATGAATCAAAACTTTGAGGGGAGCAGTGAACCGAGTTTAATAATTCTTAATCTGCATAAGCAAAATCAAGATACTTTAGAGCTGTCTATAACATGAACCTGAGCTAATTAGTTGGGGAAATAAGTTTAAATGCCTCACTAAATTTAACTTAAGTAAACTAATTAAACTTTAGTAATCAAACCAGCAATTACTTTAGTAAACATCTAGACATTCCATCCTGCCTTAATATGAACATTCACTATTCAGTCATGTAAAACCGTCTTACCTCTTCAGCCATTTGCAGAAGTACTTTATTATTACTTTCCCATTTGGTACGCCATATTATCATTTCTTTTTCCAGTTTCTTAATTTTCTTTGTCATCTGCAAATCAACACAATATGAATTTAAATTCTAAGTTGAATTCCGACCTACCAACCACAGAAACTTTTTTCTTTAAAAGCTCTTTTATTTTTATAACTGTTTCCTAATAATCTTACTGTTTCCTAATAATCTTACTCTTCATTCTGTTGTCATTTTCTTCATTTGGACTTTCCTATTGATATTTTAGTGGAAGAAAATGTTCTGACCCTTGGACATTATTTTTAATACTAGAGGCCTGGGGCATGGATTCATCCACACTGAAAGGAAATTAGAAGGTGGCCGGTAGGGTAAGACTGGGCAAGATGGGCCAGATAATGCCCTGGAGCCAACCTCCTGCATCCCTCTCTGGCTTGCTGTACGTGGGGCAGCATCGGGGCTCAAAGATCATTTGTGGAGTGAGCAGGGTCCCTCCTGCAGTTGGGGTCCCTTGGCCTGGCTTGTGGGGATTGGGCCAAAACCAGCAGTCCAACATCCCCCGAGGGTCCCAGAGTACAAGAGGGCATTGTTCAAGATTGCTGTCGCTTCGCAGCTCCTGCACTGCGCATCTGCCTCTGGTGATCAGTGTTTATATACCTACCATTCAGTTGGCCTGTCACTTAGCCTTTTACATGAATAGATTTTTTTTACGGTTGATATTTTCCCCCTTCAGAAACATTTTATAATATTCTTCCCCATGCTCATCATTGCACTTGTCTCAACTAGCTGATAGTCTGCATGTCTTTATAAAAAACAAATTTTATGTTCTCAGTTTTAGAGGAAGCAGCAAATGCTAACTTCAGATACCACAATTAACTCTCTCAGATAAGGCTGCAATGCATTTCATTCCAACGGAAGATACAAGACTTTCTGCTTCCTCAGTTATATTAAAAAAAAGTCCTTTTTCTTTGAATATAATCCCAAGAGGCCCAGGGCACGTGCACTGGAGGAGAGGGGTCCCTCAGCCTGACTTGCACCCTCTTGCAGTCCGAGACCCCTCAAGGATGTCTGACTGCTGGCTAATGTCCACTCCCTGCCGCCACCACTGCGCTCGCCAGCCAGAAGCTGGGCTTGCTGCTCATTAGTGCTGCCTCAGAGTCTCTCTTGCCACCACCACTATGCTAGCCAGCCATGAGCCCAGCTTTTGGCTGAATGGTGCCCCCCTGTGGGAGTGCACTGACCACCAGGGGGAAGCTCCTGCACTGAGCATCTGTCCTCCGGTGGCCAGTGCACATCATAGTGACCAGTAGTTCCACTGTTCAATTTGCATATTAGGGTTTTATTACATAGGATTATACTAATTCATCAGAGTCTTGGACAGAGATTCTTAGCCTCCAAAGAAATTAAGACTCTAAAATCACATTGGTATCAGAACTAGAGGACAGAAGAATTTAGGTGACTAGAAAGGTGCTATTAAAAGTCTGAAACCTTTAGCTTTGTTTTCCTCAAAACTCAAAAGACTATTTTATTTCAGATTTTGTCAAAGACAAAATGGGTCCAAAAATAAGGAGAATGTACTTAAAGCAATGTTGTAATATTCCAATTTTCAGAAATTCAGAATAAGATTCAGGTATACCTGTCAAAAAAGGATGACAAAGCCAATGCCCTATGTCATGGGTTATTACCCACAAAACTGCACCACAAGACATGGTTTCATGCTGACCCACTGGGATTTCTGTAGTCAAAGAGCAAAGTATTCCTGCCCAGAGATTCTCTCCAGGATAGTGAATTGAAAATTGCTCTCTTAAAAACGTTCCATGTCAATAGCATGCATGTGCTATAGTACAGAGAACACATTTTTACTGTAGTCTGAAGTCTCAGCTTAAAAAAAATGGCAGGTAAAACTCATCTGCTCAGGCTCATTGAATTCTCCATATTGCTGGATCTAAAAATACATGAAGGTAGTAACAAAAACAATGTCTGAAATGCAGCAGATACTTTTGTAATTCTCATTTTTCTTTTTTTAAAATATATTTCAAGAAAAACAATATTAAATATAATGTTGCATGCAATAAACATTAATATTTTCAACAATTTTAATTCTAATGTCACATACAATAAACTAATATTTCAAGAAAAAGATTTCAAGTATAATAACTATAATATCACAGAGTTGTAGGAAATATTAAAAATTAAAAATCTGCAAATAAAGCATTACTTCTATTAGATTCTAAATTATTTTTTCTCTCTGGCATTATTTTTGTTCATCAGTTTATATTGTTCACTAGAGGCCCGTTGCACAAAGAGATTCATGCAATAGGCCTTCCCTTCCCCTGGCTGCTGGCACCAGTTTTCCTCCAGCACCCAGAACCCAGGCCTTCAGTCCGGCTGGAGCCTTCGGTCTTTGGGGCTCCAGATGGAACCTTCAGTCTTTGCTCCACCATTTTGCTCCTATGTTTGCAAATTAATTGCCATCTTTGTTGGGTTAATTTGCATACTCTCCTGATTGGCTGGTGAGCATAGCAGAGGTACAGTCAATTTACATGTTTGTATATTATTAGGTAAGATTCTATTCCAAAAGTGAGTGAGATTATGTGATATTTATTTTTCTCAGACTGGCTTATTTCACGTAGCATAGTGGTCTCCAGTTTTATCCATGCTGTTGCAAATGGTAAGAGTTCTATCTTTTTTACAGCAGCTTAGTACTCCATTGTGCGGATGTACCAGTTTTTTAATGACTTCACCTCTGATTGGCACTTAGACTGTTTCCAAATCTTAGCTATTGCAAATTGTGCTGCTATGAATACAGGGGTGCATATATCCTTTCTGATTCGTGTTTTTGATTTCTTGGTATACATTCCTAGAAGTGGGATCACTGGGTCAAATAGGAGTTCCATTTTGAGTTTTTTGAGGAAACTGTGTCTCCACAGTGGCTGCACCAATCTGCATTCCCATCAGTAGTGCAAGAGTGTTCCTTTTTCTCCACCTCCTCACCAGCACTTGTCACTTGTCGATTTGTTGATGATAGCTATTCTAAAAGGTGTGATGTCAGGTGCCTCATTGCTGTTTTGATTTGCATTTCTTGGATGCTTAGTGACTTTGTGCATGTTTTCATATGTCTCTTGGCTTTCTGGATGTCCTCTTTTGAAAAGGTCCTTTGCCCACTTTTTGATTGTCTATCTTCCTTTATTAAGTTGTATAAGTTCCCTATAAATTTTGAAGGATAAATCCTTATCAGAGAGAACATTGGAAAATATGTCCTCCCATTCAGTAGGCTTTCTTGTTGTTCTATTGATGGTTTCTTTTGCTGTGTAAAAGCTTATTTTGATGTAGTTCCATTTGTTCATTTTCTCTTTAATTTCCATTGCCTTAGGAGCTGTGTTAGTAAAGACACTGCTACAACGTATGTATAATATTTTGCTGCTTGTGGATTCTAATATTTTTATGGTTCCCCATCTCATGTTTAAGTCCTTTATCCATTTTGAGTTTGTTTTTGTGTATGGTGTAAGTTGGTATTCGAGTTTCATTTTTTTGCACATTACCTGTCCAATTAATCATTTATTGGAGAGACTGTCTTGACTCCATTGTATGCTCTTAGCTCCTTTGTCAAGTATTAATCGAGCATAATGTTTGGATTTCTGGTTTCTCTGTTCTGTTCCATTGGTCTATGTCTGTTCTTGTGCTAGTACCAGGCAGTTTTGAGAACAGCGGCTTTGTAATATAGCTTGATATCTGGTATTGTGATCCCTCCAATTTTGTTCTTCTTTCTTAGGATTGCTGTGACTATTTGTGGTCTTTTCTTTTATTCCATAAGAATTTGTTCTAAGTCTGAAATATTCCATTGGTTTCTTAATGGGGATTGCATTAAATCTATAGATTGCTTTGGGCAGTATGGATATTTTAATGATGCTGAATCTACCAATCAATGAACATGGTATATTCTTCCATTGTTTATGTCTTCCTCTATCTCTTTTTTCAATATCCTGTAGTTTCCCGAGTACAATTCTTTTACCTCCTTAGTTAAGTTTATCCTAAGTATTTTAATTTTTTTGTTGTAATGTTAAAACAATGGGATTGTTTTTCAGTTTTTCTTACTGTGAGTTCATTATTGGTGTTAAAAAAGCTGTAGATTTCTGGGTGTTAATTTTGTATACTGTTACATTGTTGAATTCCTTTATTAAGTCTAGTTTTTTTGATGGAATCTTTGATGTTTCTACATTAAGTCATCTGTGAATAGTGACAGTTTTACTTCTTTTCCAATTTGAAAGCCTTTTATTTCTTGTCTGATCACTATGGTAGTACTTCCAGTACTCTGCTGAACAGGAGTGGTGAAAGTGGGCATCCCTGTCTTGTTTTTGTTCTTAGGGGAAATGGTTTTAGCTTTTGCCCATTGAGTATGATGTTGGCTGTAGGTTTGTCATATATGGGCTTTATAATGTTGAGATATACTTGCTCTATTCCCACTTTGCTGTGTTTTTACTAAAAATGGGTGTTGGAATTTGCCAGATGCTTTTCTGTGTCTATTGATATGATCATGTCATTTTGTTTGTCAATTTATTTATCGATTTGCAAATATTGTACCAGCCTTGCATCTCTGTAATAAATCCCACTTGATCATGGTGTATGACCTTTTTAATATATTGTTGGATGTGATTTGCTAATTTTTTTGAGGATTTTAGCATCTATGTTCACCAAGGTTATTGGCCTATAATTCTCTTTGTAGTGTCTTTATCTGGTTATGCACTTAGGATAATTTTATGCTGGCTTCATAAAAGGAGTTTGGAAGTGTTCCTTCATCTTGGGTTTTCTGAAGGAGTTTGAGGAGTATAGAGATTAGTTCTTCTTTGAAAATTTGATAAAATTGCCTGGATCCAGGCTTTTGTTTGCTGAGAGTTTATTTTGTGTGTGTATGTGTGTGCTTAGTTTTTATTACTGTTTCTATTTTATCAGTTGTTTTTGGCCCAATCAGGTTTTCTGAATCTTCCTGTTTGTTTTGGGAGATTGTATTTTTCTAGGAATTTGTCTATTTACTCTACAATGTCCGGCGTGGCATATACAGTTGTTCACAGTATTTTCTTGTAGTCCTTTGTATTTCTGTGGTGTAGTGGTTACTCCTCCACTTTCATTTCTGATTTTATTTAATTGGGTCCTCTCTCTTTGCTTCTTGATGAGGCTGGCTAATGGGTTATCAATTTTGTTCATCCTTTTAAAGAACCAGCTCTTGGTTTCATTTATCTTTTGTATTTATTTTTTAGTCTCTGCGTTATTTTTGCTCTAGTCTTTATTATTTCCTTCTTACTCTGGGCTTTTTTGTTGTTGTTGCTTTTTAAGTTGTATGGTTAAATAACTTATTGCTGATTTTTCTTGTTTTTAGAGGTATGCTGGTAGTGCTATGGTCTCCCATTTCAGGACTGCTTTTGCTGTCTCCCAGAGATTTCTGGGTTGTTGTATGTTCATTTTCATTTGTTTCCAGGTTGTTTTTTTAACTTCTTGATCTGTTGGTAACCCAATTCTTTGTTTAATAACATGCTATTTAGCCTCCATGTATTTGAATGTTTTGGGGTGTTTTTACTGTAGTTGATTTCTAATTTCATTCCAGTGTTGTCTGAGAAGATGTTTGATATGACTTCAACTTTTTTAATCTTGTAGAGACATGTTTTGTGTCCTACCATGTAGTCTATCTTCGTGAATGATCTATGTGCACTTGAGAATAATGTATATTCTGCTTCACTGGGGTGAAAAGTTCTATAAATATTAATTGAATCCACCTGCTGCAGTGTGTCCTTGGAGTCTCTATTTCCTTGTTAAGTTTTTGTCTGGAAAATCTACCCAGTGAAGTCAGAGGGGTGTTAAAGTCCCTTAGCATAACTGTATTGTGGTCAATCTCTCCCTTAAGGCCTCTAGTGGGTTTTTTGTTTGATTTGTTTTGTTTTTTCATAAATTAGGTGCTCCTGTATTGGGTGCATATGTTTATCAGGGTAATATCCGTTTGTTGGATTGATCCCTTTAGTATCACATGGTGACTTTTGTTGTCTCTTGTGATGGCCTTCATTTTAAAGTCTATTTTGTCAGATATGAGTATTGCGACTCTACCTTTTTCTTTTCCATATGCATGGAAAATTTTTCCATCCCTTCACATTCATCCTGTGTGTGTAGTTTTTCCTTTTTCTTGAAGTGGGTCTCTTGTAGACAGTATATAGTTGGGTCATGTTTTTGGATCCATTTAGCTACCCTATGCCTTTTGATTGGAGTATTTAATCCATTTACATTTAGGGTTATTATTGATAGGTACTTATTTATTGCCATTTTAATTCTGTATGGTAGGTTTCTCTTTCTGTTTCTTCTCAATACAGCAATCCCTTTAGCATTTCTTCTAATGCTGTCCTGGTGGTGATGTTCTCTTTTAGACTTTTTTTGTTTTGTCTGGGAAGCTCTTTATTTGATTGTCTATTCTGAATGACAGCCTTGCTGGATACAGTAATCTTGGTCTCAGATCCTTGCTTTCCCTTATCTTGACTACTTCATGCTGTACCCTTCTGGCCTGTAGAGTTTCTTATGAGAAATCAAGAGTCAGCCTTACAGGAACTCCTTTGTAGATAACAATTTTCTTCTCTCTTGCTGCCTTTAAGATTCTCTGTCTTTTATTTCTGGCTCCTTAATTATGATGTGTCTTGGCATAGGAATGTTTGGGTTCTTATTTGGTGTTCTCTGTGCCTCCTGAACTTATGTGATTTTTTCTTTACCAGGTTAGTGAAGTTTTCTGCCATTATTTCTTCAAACACCTTCTCTATGCCTTTCTCTCTTTCTGCCTCTTTGGACACACCCGCTACTCTAATATTATTATGTTTCACATTACCCCATAGCTCCTTTATGCTGTCCTGCTTTTTATTTTTTTTCTTTATGGTTCTCTGATTGATAATCTCAACTTACTCTTCTAATTCACTGATTTGTTCCTTAGTTTCCCCTACTCTGCTGTGTATTCTTTCCAGTGTGTTATTTGTGTTGTCATTCTTTGTCTCAGACTGTTTTTTCAAAGTTACTATAATTTTTTTTCATGCTGCTGAACATCTTTACCATCATTACTCTGAACTCTGTTTCAGATAAATTTCTTATCTCTGCTTCATTTATCTCTTCTCCTAGAGAATTCTCTAGGTCTTTCATTTGGGGGTTGTCTCCTCACTGTGGCTTTCTGTTTGGGTTTATGACTATGAATGAGGTAGATCTTCTGCAGCTCTCAATCTTTAGTTTTAGACAGTGTTAAAGGCTGTTTCTGACTAACTGGATCTGGCAAAGACTCAAAGTCCCCAGAGACTGTCTTTTGATACCACTTGAATTGCCCCCAGGCTATTATAACATTGTGGGGCAGTTGCTTCTGCCTGGGGCTAATTGTTATTTTTAATCTCTTTAGTATCCTCAGGGCAAAGTATTTTTCAATAGCGTTGTGTCAACTGTCTTTCCTACAGGCAAGGCAGATGTCTAGGTGGGAAAGATGTCCTTCCCTGAGTCATAGAATGACTCAGCCCAGGAAAATTAGGTGTCTGCCTTCTGAACTCTACCCTGGAGTCCCCAGTTCTGGCTTCTGCTCTCAGCTCTAACCCACTATGTTCTCTCTCTCCCAGAGCACAAAGTGGATGGCCCCACAGGTAACTTTGTGCATTGGCTCTTTAAGAGGGTGCCTGAATTTTCAGCTGTTACTCTCTGGCAGACAGTACCCTGCTGCTTTTCAGAGCCAGATGTTATGTGGGTAACCTCCTCAGTTTTGGTGCTCTCTGTTCGGGGGGCCCAGCTTTGGGATCAGATCCCCGAGTTCTTAGTCGCAACCTCACACAGCTAAGATATCTCTCCAGGACTTCAGTTGCTGTCTATAAGCACCCAGCCAGCCCTTTCTAGCCTCCTCCCCTCCTACCAGTCTCTATGCTGTCTTTATTTTCTGTCCTCGGGTATCAGAGTTCTCTCCTGCGAGTTTTCCACTGACTATTCAGGAAGTTTTTCTATATTTTAGGTGTATTACCAGTTTGTTCCTAGGAACATGACCATTCAGCATCCACTTACTCTGCCGCCAGTTTTAATCTCCCTTGTTATTCTCATTTTTAACAATGAAGGAAAAGAGAGCTTAAACAACATGTCAATGGTCTTTAATAAATAATGTAAGAAATTATTAATGTGAGAAATCTGACCATTGTATATAAGAGTTCAACCAGTATACAATATATGATAATAGTGACTGATATCTATTGACAGGTTACAGAATGCTAGGCTTTATTGATACTTATCTTCTAATGACCACCTTTTCTTTATTAAAAAAAAATATTTTATTGATTTTTTACAGAGAGAAAGAGAGAGGAATAGAGAGTGAGAAACATCAATGAGAAACATCGATCAGCCACTTCCTGCAAACCCCTCCACTGGGGATGTGCCCACAACCAAGGTACAAACCCTTGACTGGAACCGAACCTGCGACCCTTCAGACCGCAGGCCGACGCTCTATCCACTGAGCCAAACTGGTCAGGGCAGACCACCGTTTCATAAAATCTCAATTTTAAAGGGGAAATGCCAAAGTAAATAGTTTCCCCCAAGGAAGTCACACATGCAAAAATCAGACCTCAGTTCCAGAATCTATGCTCCAAACTAAAGCGTTCCCTGTTTATTTTAGGACAGTGACAGATAACTGTAGTCTTTAAAATTAAATTTAATTCCATATTCTGAAGTGGAATGATCCAGAACAGTTTTCTATGACAAATTTTAGTTTCTAAAATTGGTAAGGATGTCCTTGTATGCTATATTAGTAAGTAAAGTAAAATTTAAAAAAGAAAAAGTAAAAATGCCCTACCCGGTTTGGCTGAGTGGATAGAGCGTCGGCCTGCAGATTCAAGGGCCCCAGGTTCGGTTCCGGTCAAGGTCATGTACCTTGGTTGCGGGCACATCCTCAGTAGGGAGTGTGCAGGAGGCAGCTGATCGATGTTTCTCTCTCATTGATGTTTTTAACTCTATATCCCTCTCTCTTCCTCTCTGTAAAAATCAATAAAATTATATTTTTAAAAAAGTAAAAGTATTTTAAACATTTAGTTAGATCCTTAGAAATAGTCTATTCCAACCAAAATGTATTACTATGCTTGGTCTGATTCAAAAAAAAAAAAAAAAAACACACACACAAAAAAAACACAAAAACAAACAAGCAATTTACACAATATTTTGTAAAAGAAATGAAATCATCTGTGATTTTTAAATAGAATATATATTTCTAGTTCAGTTGGAGCTTTGTCCTGTACATTAAAATAAAAGGTCATGGGTTTGTCCTTGCTGGTTTGGCTCAGAGGATAGAGTGTCAGCCTGCTGACTGGAGGTTCCTAGGTTGGATTCTAGTCAAGGGCACATGCCCAGGTTGCGGGCACACCCTGGTTACTAGTAGGAGGCATGCAGAAGGCAGACAATCAATGATTCTCTCTCATCATTGATGTTTCTCTCTCTCCCTTCCTCTCTGAAATCAATAGAAAATATATATATTTTAAAAAGGTCATGGGTTTGACCCCTGGTTGAAGCACCTACTTAGGTTTTGAGTATGGTCCCCTGGTTGGGATATGAGTGGCAACCAATTAATGTATTTCTCTCTCTTTAAGGTCAATAAAACAAAAAGCATATGCTCAGGTAAGGAATTTAAAAAAACTAATTCTAAGAAAAATTGTCCCTATTAGGAGAATTATTTTAAATAATAACAGAATTTTGAGAGTTTGGAGACTATTAGCAATGTGAGGCAATTTCTGGACATAATGCATGAACATGCCAGTGAAGGATCAGAAAAGATAAACTTAACATTGTATCACAATATAAACTCTTCCAAACAGCAATACTTAATCAAATTTAAAATAACCATATGTAAATTTTCTAGTAATATTCTACTATAAATATGCAAATACCTTTTCCATTTCCTGCCTGAAGGTTGTAAACAGCTCATTGCTTTTTGCCATGGTAGTCTGGAATTCTTCAAACTTATCCATATAAAGAGAAAGCTACCGAAAAAAGTAGAAAATATTCTGAGTTCCAGATAAGTAATTTAAAATCCAAAAGACTTTAAAAGAATATGGCTAAACACTGGTGACTTGATATATGTAATAAAAATAAGAACAAACAAATAGCAAATCTTGGATGAACCATACAGTAGGTAGCTAAAATTCTGATAAACCATTGAAGTTTATAAAATTTTGTTTAATCTGTGTAAATGCTTAAAATGTACAAATATTCCATCTATCATAATAAAACTAATGTGCAGTGGTATGGCTGTACATTAATATCATACAATCAATATCATACATAAATATCATACAATCAATATTTTATGCACTACCACTCTCCTTACATTTCAAAACTGTATTTGGAAAAAGGTCATTCTTTTATGTATACCACCTGCATCGTTTTTAGCTTGATTTCAAGGCTATCTTTTTCTTGAACACTGAAGGAAAATGAAACAAAAAGAATAGTTTGATTGAAAAAGAATTTAGTGGTAGTAGAGAAAAAAGGAAAGCTAAAAACGATAGAAACATCTTTCACAAATTTAAGTAATTTTTATTCTAGCTAGAAAAAGAATGCTAACTGAATACAGAATGCAGTCATCATTTTTAGGGGGAGAGTCACAGTAGTAGCCAAAAAAAAAAAAAAAAAAAAAAAAATGTGATGAGCCCTGAACTATGACTTAAGGGCTAAATTTCTTTATTTAGACTAGGATGGATTACTTTATAAATTTTCTAATATAACTACACTAGAGGCCCAGTGCATGACACTCGTGCACTGAGGGGTGTCCCTCAGTCCGGCTTGCTCCCCCTTGCAGTCTGGGACCCATTGGGGGATATCCGACTGCCTCAGAGGTGGGCTGCACTTGCCTGCCATGAGCCCAGCTTCTGGCTGAGCAACGGTCCCCCTGTGGGAGCACAGTTATCACTAGGGGGCAGCTCCTGTGTTGAGCATCTGCCCCCTGGTGGTCAGTGCATGTTACAGCAACCAGTCATTCTGCTGTTCGGTCAATTTGCATATTAGCCTTTTATTATATAGGATTATTTTCAGTATGAGAAAACGTAGGTCAAAAGAAATATTGTATTCCGCCGGGAACATGCTCCAAGATCCCAAGTACATACCTAAAATGATGCACTATGTATATGTATATGTATATTTATATATATATGTATATGTATATATATACTACAGGCCCAGTGCACAAAAATTTGTGCACTGGCGGTGGGGGTGGGGGGTGTCCCACAGCCCCACTTGTGCCCTCTCACAGTCTGGGACCCCTCAGGAGATAACGACCTGCAGGCTTAGGCCAGCTCCCGGGTGGCAGAGGGCAGGCCCAATCCCTAGGTGCCTGCCCCTCAGCCCCTGGTCAGGCTCAGAGCAGGGCCAATTTGGGAGCGGGGGTACCGCCCCCTGTCATG